TGTTTTTTATGAACAGGATAGTCCAGATTTTCTGGGCATGGTGGCACATCTCTGTAATCTCAACACTGGGGGGTGGGGAGGCATGCGTAGGTGGGCTGAGGTAGGAGGATTGCCAGCAGCTCGAGGCCAGCCTGGGATACCTAGTGAGTTCAAGACCAGCTTGAAGTACATAGTGAGATCCTACCTTTAAAAAAAGGTCCCAATGGGGCCGGGGATTTAGCTCAGTGGTTTCGCTGCCTGCTGTGCAAGCGCAAGGATCCGAGTTTGATCCCCGGTACCAAAAACCCCCCCCCCAAAACCCAAAAAACCCCAAAACAAATCAAAACAAAAAAGAATCAAAATATCAAAAAAGGGCCAGATTCAACAAAAAACCCAAACATTCTATTGGGTGGAATTATGAATGATTTTTTTATAATGAGGACCAAATAAATAAATAAATAAATGCCCATGGCAAATGCTGTCTATGCCCCTTCTTTTTTTGTTGTTGTTTTTGCTACTGGGAATCGAACTCTGGACCTTGTGCTTGTGAGGGAGGCGGCAGCAACACTGAGCTAAATCCCTGGCCATATGCCCATTCTTTTTTCTTGTGGCATCATTAAAGAGCATCAGCTAGTTTAAAAAATGTTGAGTTTCTTAGTTCCAGTAAGAGTTTTGATTACTTACAAAGTGCAGGCTGGCCTTAAGCTCACTATGTAGTTCAAGGCTGGCCTTGAACTTGCAGCAATCCTCCTGCCTCAGCCTTACAAGTGCTGGGATTACAGGCATGAGCCACCATGCCTGGCTATGGATCTCAGATACTCTTAAGAGCATAGGTGGTCTGAGCGACCAAGTGTCAGCATATTCTTATCTTTCATTATTTTTGAAGCAATGGAAAGGAGGAGAAAAGGTCTGCACACCTGTTCTCTGCCTGCCCTGCTCCCCACATGAATAGCTGTATCTGCTGGTCTTGGAGACCATGAGTCCCGGAAGCACAGAGGACCTGCAGCCCAGCAGAGAGGCGGTGGAGACAAAGGAAACAAACAGGCTAAGGTGGGTAACTTCTTATGTTAGGATGTGTTAGAAGGAAAAAGTATGGAGATAATCATGTTTGGTTTTGATTATTGAGACAGGGTCTCACTATGTAGTTCAGGCTATCCTTGAACTCACTATGTAGCCCAGACTGGCCTCAAACTCACAGTGATCCTCCTGCCTCAGCCTCCTGAGTGTTGGGGTTTCAGGTGAATGCTACCATGCCCAGTAGAGGTAATCATGTTTTTGTTTTGTTTTGTTTTTTAAAGATGAAGTAAAGAAAGGAACTCTTCCAGTGGTCTTTCCCAGCCTTTGGTAATTCTACTTTCATGTTAATGAAATGGCATCAGTAAAAATCTTTGAATTGAATCAAATCAAGCCATGATATGCCACCCTAGGATATCAAAGATTCATTTATATTTACTGGAAACAGACAGAGAACAAAAATGAAATAAAGCCATTCTAGTGCTTTAGTAGTTCCTGTAGTGGTGTGTGGAGTGGTGTCAGTGTTCAGAAAAAAGGGTATGTCTTCAGGTTACATGGTGCCAGTGCACTTTTTTTTTTTTTTTTTTGGTACCAGGGGTCCTTGTACTTGCAAGGCAGGTGTTGGAACCACTGAGCTAAATCCCCGGCCCTGTGCATTGTTTTTGTTAGGTCTGATCTGGCAACCCAGAATGCAAACCTCTACCATGCACAAATCATTCTCTAACACCATCCTACAGGATGCCATTTTATACCCTGCTGCCTGGCCACCACCACTGGTTACAGTACCCTCCCAAGCCCTACATGCAACTGTCCTCCATGTGCTAGTTGTATCCCACAAGCTCTGTTTCAGGCCTCAACCATAACCAAATTGCTCTTAAAAAGAGTCATCTGCTAGTTGGATTGTTATTTAAACATTCTGGGAATCTGTGATGAATTTCTTTTTTTTTTTTTTTCTTTTTTGGTACTGGGAATTGAACTCGGGACCTTGCGCTTGCAAGGCAGGTGCCGGAACCAGAGCTAAATCCCTGGCCCTGTGATGTATTTCTTTATCCAGTAGTGTCCACCTCTAAGTTAGTTCTATGCCTACAATTAGGACCTTATACTGTTGTTCTTCTTTATATTTTTCTGAGGTACCAGGGATCGAACTCAGGACCTTGCACTTGCAAGGCAGCCTCGGTGCCACTGAGCTAAATCCCTGGCCCCTGCTGTTCTTGATAAGAAACTGTTCCCGATTAAAAAACAAACCCGGAAAACAAAACAAAACAAAAAGCCAAACCTGATTTACTGGCAAATGCTACACGTGCCATTACACAAGTGACAAAGAAGGGCAATAGGATACCAAATTAGGTGGTTAAGTGGGAAAATCCAGACTAGTCCCAGAGAAATCCTATAGCCCTATGGGCAAAAATGTTACAAGACGGAAGGAATATGAGAGCTTTGTGGATCATCTCCAATATTAGCTTAACTCTCTGGCTTCCCAAGGGCAGATAAGATAATTGGGCTTTGTGTAAAGTTGCTAGGATGAGGCACTAGACAAAAATCTGATTTGATGCAGAGAAACTACACTGAGAAAGGGGTTAAGTTTAACTTTCAAGGACTAAGTACAGAAATTCAGCAAGTATTGGGAATCACAAACAGGATGACCTGTTTTGAGGGAACCACTCTTTTTTTTGAGGTGGGGTCTTGCTCTGTTGCCCAGGCTGATCTTTTTTTTTTGGAACTGGGGATCAAACTCGGTACCTTGCACTTTCCAGGCAGGCAGCGGCACCACTGAGCTAAATCCCCGGCCCTGCCCAAGATGATCTTAAATTTGTGGGTCCAAGTGATCCTTCAGCCTCAGCCTCCCAAGTAGCTGGGACTATAGGCATGTACAGACCACCATGCTCAGCTGGAACTATGGACTTTTAGGATGTAGAAGAGAATTTTCTCTTATCACAAATGGAACCCACAACATGAAATTCAGCACTAACTGGTTTACAAGAGGCAGTTTCCAATAGTGAGTATGGTTCACCTTCATTGTATGGCTGAACAGGTCTACTTGGCTAGATACCCAGGTGGTCCTTAAACTTACCTATAAATACATCCATTTGAAAAGGTGAGGTGGAGAAGCCAGAACTATAAGGCAATCTGTTCTCACCCAGACAGATGAGAATTGATTAGAATGGGTAACAAAGTCTACCAAATGCACCAAGAGGACTACTTTTAGCACTTTCATCAGGAATAATAGCAATCGAACTTCAAAAGAATGTTTCATAACTAGATATCCTACCTTCTGTTCAGAGTAGCTTAGGACTTAGATGAGAAAGGGAAACAGTATGGAAATAGAGGTAGGATTCTAGTCACAGTGGGAAGTTTTCTTTAATTCCATCTATGGCCCATTTCATCCTGAACATACATGGCTGTAAGATGCCCTTTATCAAGCAGCATTCTGGCTAAGATCAACCCCATCTCCACTTAGTTGCTTTTTTTTTTTCTTTTGAGACACAGTCTTACTATATAGTTCAGGCTGGCCTTGAATTCACTATATATATATATATATGGCCCAGGTTGGCTTCGAACTTATGGTGCTCCTCCTGCTTCAGCCTCCCAAGTCCTGGGGTTACAGGTGTGTGCTACCATGCTTGGCTACCCTATATCTTAATTTAGGTTAGTTCAAGAAAGCCCCTATCCCCAAAGAAAAAGCAGGTGGTAGTTGTAGTACTGGATTTTTTTTTTTTTTTAAGAAAATGATTCTCAGAAGTCATAATTGCTCTGCATTTCCTATGTTATTCTTCTCTAGGGGAACAGAAAAACTTTCTTTCCCCCCACTTCCAGTGGTATTTTTGTTGTTGTTGTTGTTGTTGTTGTTATTTGTTTGTTTGAGACAGGGTCTTGCTATGTAGTTCAGGTTGACCTCAGCCTCCCAAGTGCTGGGATTATAGGTGTGTGCCACCATGCCTGGCCTCCCTCTACTTCCAAAGGAGGACACGACATTGTGTTTTTCTTCAAAGACTTTTCCAGCTGGCAGGGTATTTAGTCCTTAGGGACCTACCATAAAAAAGGGTGGGGGTAGGAATGTCTCTTTCAGCCACTAATGCCATTAAGGAACTCTGCCTAAATAAAGTATATTTTTTATTTATTAACTTTCTAAGACTTAAAAGCTACAATTTCCTCCCAAACTACAGAGCACTTAATTTGTCTTGCTTAATTATATATACAAGAAAAATCACACAGAGTCTCACAGATTGGGCCTGGTTCTCCTCTGTGACCCAGACTTCTGAGGTACCTTCCCCGGGCAGCCCAACTCTTGGCCACTGACTCTGAGAGCCTGCTGAAGTGGATCCAAAGAGATAGATTGGAGCTGTAAGTTTTTGCCACCAAATTTCTATGAACTTTATCCCTTTTGTTTATCGGGATATTCACCAATATCCAGGAAGTCAAAGAGCTGGGAAAGAAGGGGTGGTGGCATGTTACTGGCTAAATCCAGATGTCTTCAGTGAGGCCACGTACAACTGGAAGCAGAACCCACAAGACCTACCAGAAAAGCACCTTCATCACAGCCTGCTGCCTTCACCCTGGGGACAGGTGTGTGGTGGCACTTTTCCGGAGGGAGTTCGAACCTTCCACCCACCAATAGGAGGGTCTCTTCTGCAGTCATAGGCACTGATCTACCCTGCCCCACAGGAGTAAATGTGTATCCTATAGCACACAAAGGACAAAATGTGTCCTGTAGCAAAGTCTGAAGTATCTCTCAGTAAGCAAGTCTTATCACAGCAAAATTAGCATTTTCTAAAGAAGTTCTTCAATTAGGTAGTCATTAGCATGCCATTTTCCTTCAGGAAACTTCAAGTCTCCTTTTAGTGAAAGGAATTAGAAGCTCCTAAAATGTTCCTAGGCATAATATGCTACCCATGAAGAAAAATTCCAAGCAGGCTCAATCTCTTTCTGAAGGGCTTACTGCCAGCCAAGTCAGGAAGGTTTAAGTGGAAACAGGCAAGAAATTCAATAAAATATTTATGCTCTCTTACCATTAGCATCTTGGACTCCAGTAAGTGCTCCGACAGCTGCTGCGGTTTCCCCAGACAGGACGATCTGTCCCCCTCCTTGTAAGGTGGCCTCAGCCAGGGTGGCGACAGCATGGGCAGCAGCTTCACTGTGGGTACACGGACAGAAGATAGGGGGATATGCAAGATGAATATAGGTATAGTGCTGTAGGCAGGAACATTGCCTTTCCTTGGATCTATTTACTGGCTCGATGGTTGTGAGCCTACAGCCAAATACTTGAGAGCAGTACTAACAGAGTCAGGAGTAATTTAAAATGATAATAATAAACAGGCAGAAAAATTTTAGGCCTTACATATTTATGAAGCTAATGCAAATTTTTCTTTAAACCTAGGTGATGAATGTTTGAGGACAGAAAGGGTTCATATCAGTCTCTCACTATCATCAATTAAGTGCTTGCAAGCTGTAGTGGAAGCTCTGATCTACATCCACAAGGCAAAGCCACTGTGGTTGTCAATCACAAGGTTTTCTTTTCCCTTTACAGTAACATAAGATGGACCATCAGAGACTGTCCTTTTTAGTCAAGGATGGATGAGAATGTGAGGAGTCAGCAACCTGGACATGCTACTTAATTAATATTAAATCATGACAATTTAGTTTATATTCATTCTCTCCAAATACAAAGTAATGGTTGACAAATCTCCTGAAAAGTCCAACTCTTCCTGTATACGTAGGCAGGGCTAAAAACAGACTTAACATTTAAAATCATCACTATAAGCCTAAACTTCTTGCCTCTACAAATACAGTGAAATAATAAATCTTCTTTCACTTTTTTTTCTTTCAAAGCAAACACTGTGTAGAATAGAAAGACATTAATCGTCTGTTTAGAGGGAGCACTATTCTATTTTTTTATTTGGTACCAGGGATCAAACTCAGGTCCTTGAGCTTGCGCAGCAGGTGGGGGAGCACTATTCTAGCACTGTGTCCCACTTTTCCTTTCCTTCCTATATACTTTTGCAATGTGGATATTTATTTTTCTTGATTCTGTGGTGCTACAAACTACAGTGAGTCCCCCATTTATGAACATTTGAGTTGTGAACTTTCACAGATATGAACAGATCTCACATTCGGAACATTCACAGATGTGAACAAATTGTGGAAGTAGCTCATAGTATCTGCTGCACACTGTCACATTGTGCTGCTGTGCACTTACTGTACAGTGCAATAGTATACAGTAGTACAGTGCAAATCAGAACCCAGGATGTCCAGAGGCAAGAAGAAAAGCAGTGGTGATGTAGAGGGGACTGCTAGAAGTGCAAATCAATAACCATGGAAACAATAGTGAAAATACAGCATAAGATTCACTTTGTTGGACTTATGAATGCATCCAACTTACGTTTTCCCAGAATGGAATTCATTCATAAGTTGGGGATTTTCTTTTAAGAGTTTTATAGTGCTAGGTTTTATATTTTAGGTCTTTGGTCCATTTTGAATTTAATGTTTGTATATGTTGTTAGGTAAGGGTCCAACTTCATTCTTTTGCATGTGGATATTCAGCTTCCTCAGCACCAATCATGAAGACTATCTGTTTCTTATTGGGTAGTCTTGGCACTGCTGTCATCAACCATTTAACCATATACAGGAAAGTTTATTCCTAGGCTTTCTATTCTATTTGACTACTTTATATGTCTGTCTTTAGGCCAGTAGCACACTGTTTCAATTACTGTAACTTTACAGGAGGTTTTGAAACCAGAAATGTGAGTTCTTCGGTTTTGCTCTTTTTCACGATTATTTTGGCAATTTGCAGCCCATTGATATTCCAAATGAATTTTAGGATGGGTTTTTCTATTTCTACAAACAATATCATTGGGATTTTAAAGGAACTGCACTGAATCTGTAGGCTATTTTGAGCAGTACTGATATCCTAACAATATTAATCTAATGACCCTCATATGGCTTCTAATTACTATTTAGTGTTACCTTTGTGTAAATATAGTCTTTTTTTTTTTTCTTGGTATAGGAGATTGAACACAGGGCCTTAGCACTGACCTACAATCCCCCACCATTTTTTATTTTGAGGCAGGGTCTCTAAGTTGCCGAGGCTGAACTTGAATTTGTGACAATCTTGCTTCAGCTTCTCAGAGTGCTGGAATTATAGGTATGCACCATGCCTGGTTTGGACATATATATATATTTTTTGGTACTGAGGATTGAACTCAGGACCTTGTGCTTGCAAGGCAGGTAAAGTTTGTACATATAGGTTTTTATAGACTCTTTTTTTCCCACTTAACATTATATTTTCTCAAGTAAATAGCCTGATATCTACTCAAAACAATAAATGCAAAATTGCTGATCTTTTCCTTCCCTTCTCTTTTTGATTGTTCTGTACTGGGGATGGAACCTAAGGAGTACTGAGCAACATCCCAAACTCCTTTTATTTTTTGAGACAGGGTCTCACTAAACTGTCTAGGTTGGTTTTAAACTTATGATTTTCCTGCCTCAGCCTCTAGAGTAGATAGGATTATAGGCTCGCACCACTATGCCCAACTGATTTTTTCTCCTTTGTTAAAGTTGGCTACCTGTGGCAATTGCTTCTGGATGGGAAAAAAACCCCCCAAATTTATAGGTTTTCTTTGATTCAATTCAAAGTCATGATCATATATTTCAAATCTATTTGCTTCCTTTATTAAAAAAATTGCAAAATAATTAAAGTTGAACAAAAAACTAAGCATAGTCATAGATTTGACATGCAGCCAGATAAAAGCTAAGCTTGTTCTCTCTGCTGACACACTCTTAGGAGGGAGTTATTTCATACTATTCATAATAGGCACTCAGAGCCAGCAGGAAGTCCTGATCTAGAATTACTACAAAGGCTGTTCTTTGCATTTTTCATGATAGAATTTAATTGTAAAGTGCTTTCTAAGTATTTAATAGAGACAATGTAATGAATAACTACTGTATATAGCACCTACATCCTTAATTTTAAATATTTTTCTAAGAAATTGCTATCACTACATAGTATTTCCAGCTGATTTTACAGTCTAGCTATCATGAATTAATGACAGAATATTTCCAATCTGACTGAGACTTCATGGAAAAGAGAAAAGCTCAGACCCTGGACAACATGCTTGCAGTTTTCTGGGGAAGGCAGGCAATGGCAGCTGTCAGCCCCTGACTTAGAGTACCTGTAGCTGGCCATGCCCATCAGTCTATCAGGCTCTAAGTATCTGGAAGTTATTTTCTTTAATTCCTATGGTATGAGTTAAGAAAAGATGAGAACCAGCAACACCCTAGAACAATCTAGGATGTCCAGGGATAAGGGGCCCAATGGGGGTGCCAGGCTGACAAGTGGGTGAGGTTAGTTATTCCACCCTATCAGAAGCCAGAGACCAGGCAGGATGGGTAGGTTTTTTTTGGTGCGGTTAAAGCAAGGGCCTTCACACTAAACTACATCCCCAGTGCTTTTATTATTTTTTATTTTGAGACAGGACCTCACTAGGTCACCCAGGCTAGGCTTGAACTTGCAATCCTTCTGCCTTAGCCTCTCAAAGTGCTGGGATTTCAGGCATGCATTGGGTGTTTTATGTTAGCCCACAAAGATGATGAAAAGATATTAAAATGTTCTTGATTTATCACTATACAGTTTTTAGACAACAATCATTTCCAAACCACAGCAGTATTGGGCACATTCAAGGACTGAATTTGCAAGAGGACCTGTTTAAGAGGGATTATACGGGCTGGGGATTTAGCTCAGTGGTTTCGCCACCTGCCTTGCAAGCGCAAGGACCCAAGTTCAATCCCCGGTATCAAAAAAACCCCCACAAAAAACAAAGCAAAAAAAAAAAAAAAAGAGGGATTATAAATCACTGATGCATAACTAAACTAAAACTTTGAAGACAAGCATGGTAGCATATGCTTGTGATCCCAGCACTGTGGGAAGCTGAGGTAGGAGGAACACAAGTTCAAGCCCGGAGCCTCGGTAACTTAATGAGACCTTATTAAAAAAAGGGGGGGTGGGTTTGGAAGGTTGGAGATGTAGCAAAGAGTGAAGGGCCTGTTCCTCAGTACTGCCAAAAACCAAAGGAAATCAAACCAAACTTCAAATTCATCACTGTATGGCAACAAATATATAATGGCATCACTTCCTTTCCTCTCTGGTTGTTTGGGCTAAACAGCCTTTTTTTTTTTTTTAAGCTGTGATACTCTGTTTTTCACTTGTTCACCTTGATTCCTTCTCTACATCCTTCCTTTCTAAAATGTTCATTGATTCTTTATTTTGAAAATTAAAATTAACCTACTTTTTAGCCCTTTGGGCTGTCCCAAAGCCTGAGTAAGCTAAGGCCATGGAGGCCCAGGTCCTGTTCTGATTTGCTGCATGAAACTCTTTAACACCATGGTTGAAAAATAGGTCTGCCCTGCATCTGTCCTGATCCTCTTCTCTAAGGGCTCCGGCTACAGAAGTTCCTCTGCCTCCCTAGCCCCCACCTGCCATTACATGCAGTTGGCCTCGCCCTTCTCACCCTGCACCCACATCTGCTGTTTACAGTCCAGCAGAGGTGCAGGTGGTCATTAGAGAGCTATGCTTGTTCCAGCTGCACCTGAAACAGAGAAGGCTGGCAGGTAGCAGGTTATGAAATCGTTTTGTTACTATAGGAACAAAGACCAGATTTCTCCGTGTATTTTCACTAAGATGACTTCCAACAAGGAACTCTATGGTGAGGCTGTGAGTGCAGGGGATAAAAGGTTCTACTGCAACCCATCCACAGAGAAGCCATTACCAAGGGCTTGCCTTGAGTCCAGCTTGGCTGACTGAGACATTACTGTGGGTGATAGCTTGCTATAGGCTAGTCTCAGATGCTGGGCCTGGCTCCTTCAACATGGGCAGAAGTAGCAACACACCACTCCCTCAAGACTCACTGGGACAGTGGACTATTTGATTGCAAACAGATTTCAACATCTCTTTACCCCTCCTTCATCCACAGTGAACCACATTCTCCTTCCTTTGAAGTAAACACTGGCTACCTCAGCTGCATCCAAGTTTGTTAACAAGCCCTCGGGGAATACAATTACTCTTGCTGCTTGGGAGATAAGCCCTGGTCCTCACAGCAAAGGGAGTCAGAATGGGCCTCAGATTTTCCACTATGTAGAAGGCTCCCAGGACACTTGCACCTCACTGGAACATGCAGGGTGCTGACTGGAAGGCTCAAGGTTTGCTAGTTTATAATGATGGCCTGTTAGGCCCAAAGTCACAGACACAGATGTCACCAGACTAAAGGGAGGGAGGTTCTTACTTGAACCATGATTTCAGGAAGTTTATCTGGATTTTTCCTCTCAAAGGAAAGAGTAAGACTGAGCCAACATGTAAGAAACTAAGTAAGACTTACATGTTACTGAAAAGTGACATGGTTCAACAGGCTGAGAAGAAAGTGTTTGAATTCCAGGTCACTCAGGCAACTCTCAGAGGCCAAGGATGTTTGTGTGTGTTTCAGTCTTCTGTTGATGATCAACCACCAAATTCTGGCTACTACAGCCTGCAAAATCAGTTACTTTATCTCTATTCTTACATTAGTTTCCAAGACTTTAACAAGGTACACTTGGATTGCCTCTCCCTAGCAGGTCTTATAATCAATTTTCTTTCTTTTTTTTTTTTTTTTTGGTACCGGGGATTGAACTCGGATCCTTGTGCTTGTGAGGCAGGTGGCAGAACCACTAAGCTAAATCCCCGGCCCAATCAATTTTCAATACAATCAATTGTGAACACAGATCTTGAAATATAATTTAAATGACAATAGTTATAATTTCTAGAGTGCTAAATAGGAGCTGGACACCCCAATGAGGGTTTTATATTCATCATTTCATTGAATCTGTGTGTGATGAGTATCAGTCTGACAATAAAAAGAAGGAAGCCAAGTCTCAGGGGTTAGGTTTCCCAAGAGCAAAAGACAAGTGGTGGAGCTGGGATTCAAAGTGAATTTATGCGACCTTGTAATCCTCTTCTCAACCACCACACTGTATAGCCTCATACAGTATACTGTTTGTACATAAATCTATCAATGCTTTTAATCTACCTTAACAATCTAAACTGCAGCTGGTTTTATATTCTGGGGGAGGTGATTTCCCTGTCTAAACTTCTACAATGTTTAGTCTGTACTATGACTCAATAGGGAACTGCACTCTCATATTGTTTGCTAGGTGTTTTATTGAAATCAGTCTCCCCAGTAAGAGCATGATTTCTCCAAGAGCAGTGACTATGTGCTGAAGCACGAAAAACTTACCTAGTAGGGTGCTGCTGTGTCACAGAGATCAGTGACTAACAGCTGCCATGAATAACAGCAGCCCTTACTGCAAGTCAGGTGGTATCAAAGGGTCTCATATGCACTAACTTTTTCAGTTCTCATAACACCTTGGCAAAGGCAGGGACAGTTATTACGCCCATTTTACAGACAAGGAAAGTGTGGCTATTGAAACTTCAAATAAACTGCCCAAGGTCAACCAGTTAGTGGACAGTGTGGGCTTCAAGCTCAGGAAGCTTGGCTCCAAGGTCCACCCTTAATCATAATCAAAATGCCTGGGTGAGTTGAAAATAAAATTGGGTCAGAAAAAAGAGGAAGAATGATATGGGGATAATCTTTCCTATCAAAAAGCAGTAAAAAAATCCAGGAGAGGGGCCGGAGATTTAGCTCAGTGGTTTTGCCACCTGCTGCACAAGCGCAAGGACCCGAGTTCGATCCCTGGTACCTAAAAAAAAAAAAAAAAAAAAACCCAGGGGAAAACAATACAATTCCATTTTGGAAACTACCGACTAACAGAGTATCCCATTCTGCAACTCCCTTCCTAAACCTTCCTGGAGAAAAGTTCAATTTTTCTTGGCAAGGGCTTACTATAAACCAATCTACAACATCTTGAGAGTGTTAGTTCCAACTGCCAAGTGTACAAGCTGAGGGACATCACCTCTCTGCAAGGACAGACCCTCAACCCTCATTTGCCCCGCTCCCTGCTTCCACCTGTTGAGCGCCATGGTGACAGTGGCTCCCTGTTGCATCTCCTGAGAAGCTGCCACTGCGGCCTCTGCCAAGGATGCCACCGCCTGGGTGGCCTCTGATGCCTGCGTTGTCTGGATGGTCATCTCACCTCCCTGTAATGTGGCCCAGTTTTGTTCCACCTGAAGTAGAAATGACAAGATGGTCAAAAGTCACAGTCGAAAAAGGGTTATGCAGCCGGGGATTTAGCTCAGTGGTTTCGCCGCCTGCTGAGCAAGCGCAAGGACGCGAGTTCGATCTCCGGTACCAAAAAAAAAATGTGAGCCAAATTAAACCTCTTTAAATTTGGGCTGGGGATTTAGCTCAGTGGTTTCGCTGTCTGCTGCGCAAGCACAAGGACCCGAGTTCAATCCCCAGTACCAAAAAAAAAAGGGTTATGATCTTAAAAACAGTAATCCTTATAATAAATTGTCATGCTTTTAGCCAAATAAATATATACTTTTAAATCAACATGACCTATGATTCACAGACAGGGCTTTTAGTATGTTATCTTTTGTGTTTAAAAAGAGAAGTTGTGGGCCAGGGATTTAGCTCAGTGGTTCCGCCGCCTGCCTCGCAAGCGGAAGCTCCCAAGTTCAATCCCGGGTACCAAAATAATAAATAAATAAATAAAATAAAAAGGGAAGTAGTAGAATATATATTTGAATTTGCTTATATTTACATAAAGGAAATTTTGTGACACACACACAAATCCATTGCAAATACTTCTTTGGGGTTGGATGGAAGACAGAAAGCACTGTACACTTTCCCCTGTATACTTTTAATATATTACTGATTAAAAATTAAGGTTAAACTTTTGAATAGACCATATGAATAATTGTGCTTTTGTTGAAAAACAAAAAAGGATGTGAAGTAATGTATGTGTTAATACCTTGATTTAGCCACCCTACAATGTATGGGGTTTTTTTGGTACTGGGGATTGAACTTGGGTCCTTGCACTTGCGCAGCAGGCAGCAAAACCACTGAGCTAAATCCCTGGCCCTAATGTACACTTTTTAAAAGATTACATTATACATGATAAATTCAAACTGCACCAAAGGGAGTATAATACTAGTACTCCAGACTCTGCCCAAAGGGTCTACTACTACTACCCATTTTCTTATATTTGCAGTAGTATTCTCTGTATATGCAAACACACACACACACACACACACACTCACACACACAATTTTCCCCTTTCTGTTCCTTCCATTTTAACACGAAAAATGACAGCATAGTCTACCTATCTTTTATGCCTTGCTCTCCTCACACATAATACTTCTCTGAAATGATTTAGAACACAGAAAACTGTTTCATTCATTCGTGATCCATAATAACTCCTACAGAGCATTGGATTATATAGAAATACCACAATTGACTTACCAGCCATCTTTTAATGGGCATTCAGGTGGTTTTAGTCTTTTGCTATTACCAACAATGCTATGTGGAATATCCTTACATACCATTTTGTATAGGATATGTGAGCCTACCTATTTGTAGGATAAATACCTAAAGGTAGAATTATAAATTGGTTATTTTGTATTTTGATTTTTGATGGAAACTGCCAAACTCAGCATTTTTTCCCCCTCCAGTGCAGGGGGTTAAAACGAGGAACTTACGTATGTTAGGTAAGAGCTCCACAACTGAGCCACATCCCCAGCCCAACAAATATAAATATAAATATTTTTGGGTGGTGCTGGGGCTCAAACCCAGGGGCATGTGATATGTATGTATGTATGTATGTATGTATGTATGTATGTATGTTTGTTGTGTGTATACAGCAATAAAATGCTTTCTTTTTTTTTTTGGTACCAGGGTACAAACTCTGGACCTTGCACTTGAGAGGCAGGTGGCGGCACCACTAAGCTAAATCCCCAGCCCTAAAATGCTTTCTTTTTAATGGATGAGGAATTATTAAGAAACCAAACTAAAAAACTAAGCTTTCTGGTAATGGAGTAAATGAGAAGACAATTTTGTTACAGCTAGCATAGGATTTCTCAGCCTTGGCACCATTAACATTTTTGGCCTGACCACTGTTGAGGGGGCTGTCCTCTGTATCACAGGATGTCTACTAGCATGCCTAGCTCATACCCACTAGATGCCATAGCACCTCCTTTGTCGTGACAATCAAAAATATCTCTAGATATTGTGCCAAGTGTAGTGGCACATGCCTGTAATCCCAGTACTTTGGAAGGCTGAGGCAGGAGGATCACTTTGAGTTCGAGGCCAGCCTGGGTTACATAGTGAGTTCAAGGCCAGCCTGAATTTCATAGCAAGACCTTGTCTCAAAAATCAAAAAACAAAACAAACAAAAAACAAAAAATATCTCCAGATATTGACAAATGTTCTTTCTGGCCCTGAGTTGCAAACCACTGATTTTTAGCACAATTCCTAAAGGAGAGATTTCTCAGTTCTAGATATCCGTAACTAGCTACTTCAACCCATTTTGCCCAATGAATATGGGCTGATTAATTATTTCCCCTCAAAAACAGAACAAAATGCAGTAGAACAGTGCAGGTTCTATTCAGATGTATGGGAAATAATAAATCTGCTTGTGTCTGATACCTTTCTGGACCTCGGGATGTTAGCGGTGCTTCCTGGGGCTCTATTGTCCCTGCTTCACAATGCTGGACCCAGTGAGAGCCTATCTTGTACCTGCCTACTACTGTGTCCCAAAGACAGTGCTACGAGCTCTAGGAGAGATGCTTAAAATTTCTCTTGCTTTGGTTCAATTACCATCCTAAGATTATGATAATGCTTCTCATTATCATAGATATGTCATGAGTCATTCTTTTGGGCTCCCTTAGTATGTGCCTTGGGTTTTTCTAGGAACAGGATAGTGACAAGTTTTCATGGCCCCTCACTACGGAGAGCTACAAAGTGACCCACTCAGGAACTTCCTAAACTCTTGATTCCCAAGGTGTGAGCTCACTTCTCCAATAAGCTTTATTGCCAACAATCCCAGTGTAGCAAGCTACACTATCAATTTTTAGATGGCCAATGATTCCACTCAAAAACAAAAACCATAGAGGCAGAAGGATCACTATGACTTTGAGGCCAGTCTGGGCTACATAGTGAGACCCTGTCTCAAAAGAAACCAAAACCAAAACCAAAAACCTGAAAATCCAAAACCCAAAACCAGAAACAGCTGCTGAAGCTGGCAGCACCGTCATATACTGCCACTGAACAGTATTCCTCTTTCTCACCCAGCCTCACTTGTAGCAATCACATTGCTGCTCTCTCCCCTGAGCTTGGCTTAGGGCAGCTCCCAAGTCCCCATACACTCCAGTGGCAGGAATTCAGCATAAGTACATTTCACCATGAACGCAGCTGTAACTGAAATTATATATGGCATGAGATTAATGGGGATGGTGGTAGATGGTGCTAAGAAAATTGAAAGAAACGTAAGAGAAATATGGCAGGTGATAAATAAGTTAGCTTCAGTTCTTTCATCCATTTAGTATTTCCTGTCTTGGAATCTCAGCACCTTGGCTGTGTTGCTTGAGCTCCTGTTGCTCTCAATTCCCATCTGCTGGGAGCTAGTGTGTGGTTATCTATGCCGGGATGTCACCATGTCCCAAAGAAAGGGCCACAGGGGCAGGAGTACTAATTGAAGATGTCCCATTAGCTTCCCTGTATTTCTGGGAGACTCACTATAGAGGCCCTTCAAATTAGCTACAGAGAGTACTGTGGCCATTCCATGCTTTGTAACTCAGTGCATGGAATGTGCCTCTGCCTTTGCTAGAACCAGCTCCCATCCCTGGATCCTTTGGTTTGCTAGTTACTCTCCTCGCCCAAACTCAGGTACTGCTCCTCCAGGAAGTGTTAGGTGAGACAATGCCACTGTCCTACAGTCCAAGACTGGGGCCTCTCTTTTCTGAGTGCCCGGGGCTTGCTGCTGGACCCTTAGCTCACTGCCATGCTTCTCTGTGGGGTTTCTTTCCCTACTGCCTGTCTGTATGCTCCTCACAGGCAAGGGCAAGCTTTATTGGCCTGTGTATTTATAGTGCCTGTCTTGGGGTGCCACATGTATTTACTGCATTGATAAAACATATTCCTTTATTAACATTTTCCTATTTGTTGTTCAGCCTATATATATTCCACCTAAACTGATATTCATTATAAAAAACTCACCAAAATGACTTGTATAATTTCAAAACTGTTACATGTGTGATAGCTCTGATTAAAGCTCTTGTGTCTAATTTCTTCCAGCAAAATCACATAGAATTATGTTATAATAGCATTCTATTTTGGTTTTTCTGGCAGTCAATGTACTTAACATCACCTGGTGGTCCTATCAGAAGACAGAATAAGTTTTCACACTATTTGCATTTAAAAATATGTCATAAAAATAAAAGGTAATAAATGAATGAATTTTGTTTTGTTTGGTACCAGGGATTGAACTTGGGTCCTTGCACTTGCAAGGCAGGTGGCAGAACCACTGAGCTAAATCCCTGGTCCTGAATGAATGCATTTATGTACTGCTAGAGATAAAACCCAGTGCCTTGTTGCCCGTGTTGGGTCTGAACTTGTGAGCTCAAGTGAGCCTCTTTCCTTAATATTACACACACTATGGTATATTTTAAAGTCAACATGCATAGATTATTCCATATTTTTAAAAAACATCTTTCCTTGTGCAATTCTAAATGTCTGTAATTTGTACTTCTCCCTAATTAACTTTAAACTGCTTAAGACTTCAGAATTTTTTTATTTCTTTGTAACTGCTTAGGTTATACTTTCTGCATACCAGGCCCTCAAATGATCCTTCTCATAGAAAAGTGTTAAGACAGATAATCCCTTTTCTAGTTTATTATACATAATGCTATATTGCAAGTGTAAAACTGTAAGTCCCTACTAGTTGGGTTTTGGTGACAGTAGTCCATGAATTAGAATGCACACACATAGCATAAGATAATTCTCTAAATTATCATGGCACGATATCAAAAAGGTTTAAATAATATAATGCTACACACATAAAGGCTACATCTTTACCTTCTGGATTCTCAGTTCTCCCCCACCCATTCATCCAGGTATTTAAATAGATGGAGACAGAATGTTTTTCTTACCTCTCCATCAGCCACGGCAGAGTAATTCACCTGCGCAACAGTGACTGTGGTTGGCAATTCTGAAGCATCAGCCAATGTGGCTACTGTTGCCCCTGTGCCAACCTAAAGAGAATCATGGAAAATGGTCAGTTTCTGTGGATGGCCATCTGCCTTGCCTTTCTCAGAAGCTAAGATGCACTGGACACCAAATTCAGCACAGATAGAGATTAATATATCTGGTGATGTGAAATGAATTACTGAACACATAGTGAGTTCAAGGCCAGCCTGAATTACATAGTGAGATCCTGTCTCAGAAAATGCTTTGTTTTGGAAATGTCTACAAAAGCTGCTCCTGGCTCTGAATTAAGTAAAATGCAAACAATTTATAATATTGTTCAGGAGTCAATTTTAGGTAAGGAAACTAGGGGAGCTGTATGAAGCTCATATAAGAGTTTGCACAGGACAACTTTCTCCAGTCTGAGGTGAGAACATAGCTCCCCAGAAATTATCAGGTTTACTCACCTGGATAAGCGAGACGGTACCATCTGGGTTGCTAAAGGTCTGCACTACGGTCTGTGACGGTACAAGGTGGGCTATACTGTGTGTGGTGGTGGCCTGTGTTTGTGTTTGCTGATCTTCGAAAGCATACAAGAGATCTTCCCGCCCATGCTGTTTGTAACAGTTTTTAACTATGGTTCGTAGTGCCTGGGTCCATGAAACCTGTCATGAAAACATGGGAAAAGTACATGAGGCCACAAAGATTTAGTCCCACTATGGAATACTCAGCTGTCTACTTATTAAACCAAATTAAACCACATACAGAGTAAACTGTCTCAGGATTATTTCCAACAGACTGATTCTGGCACAAAGAAACCAAGAACCAAGTACCAAAGAAGGATTCCCATTAGTTTCCTTCCTGATCAACGGTTGGTTTAACTTTGGGGTTTTATATTCTATTCCAATCTGAGGTCAAACTTAGGTTTCTCACAAAAGATTACTCTGGCCAAGAACTGTATATATTAAACTTTCCACCAAAACCAAAACAAAACAAAACAAAAACATGCAGAAAAAGAAGGGATGTTACCAGATTTAGTCTTTCTTTTCAAAGTTTCCTTATTAGCAGACTCATTTGGTAGACATCATACCACTCTAATATCATATTTATATTTTTGGACAGCAATTCTTGCCCATGAGAAATAAGGACATTTTTAAGTTTTCAAGTGATGAATACTTTCACTTGGGAACTTCTTTGGTTTTCACAAGATCTTATAAAATTAAAGCTGTTCCAAAAAGCAACTAGGAAGACAAAGTGTAAATTCACAGGCCTGTCCTGGTCTTCTGTCTGTGATGGAGTGATGAATGGGAAAGGCTGTAACTCAGAGAACATTAAACTTCTTTGGAGGAAAAGTTGGACTGTTACACAAATGTTTTTAGTCTTTTCAGCATACGAAGTAGAAATGACAAAAATTGAGGCAACTGATTCAGAATGGAAAAGCAATGGGCAACACAGGCCAGAAGAAGCTCACCCTCTGCTTCTGCTCTTCTGTGCGGACATCACTCCGCACATTTGCCCACGGGATATCTTCAGGCCACCAAATGGGCTTGCAGCTTTCTTTCCCCCAGCCTGGTTTTCCCCGACCTGTAGAGTACTTGAGCATCTCTGGGATAAATGCCCGAAGCTGGGCCTAGAAGAGAAGAGGGTGTTTATCAGTATTCATGAAGTATATCAGGGTGGGTGTGTATTTCCCCTACCAAATTCTAAGATTATGAAACAGAGTGCCTTCCTGCTAGATCCCAGAGAACTCCAAACACGACAGCTAAGAACCCACTGTTTTCCACAGGTTATTATAGCTCCCCGGGCGATGGAGAAGTACATATATGCTGTTAAAGGGCACCTTAAGCTACATTTTGTAGTCTTGGTCCTAAAAAGGCAAGAATGTCTACCTCTAGGTTTGATTTCTGCCTTCTAAAATACTACTGGCAGTAGAGCTTATTTCTCTTCTATAGTTTCCATGCATTAAAGGTGTCCAAGTCAAGGTGTTTTCAACATTGTTCTGGGTGTAGTACTCAATGCAATCAGAGAAGAGTAGAATAAGAGATGAGGAGCAAGTCACATCATCACTAGTTATAGATGAAATGATTGTATGTCTGGCAAACCCCAGAGAATCAAATGAAAAACTACTACAAACAAGACGATTCAGTAAAAAGGATGATCATAAAATACAGAAGGGTCGGAGATTTAGCTCAGTGGTGCTGGTGCCTGCCTTGTAAGCACAAGGTCCTGAGTTCAATCCCCAGTACCAAAAAATAAATAAATAAAGAAGCCATCATCTTTCCCTGTGTATATATTAAATAGGCCTAGCCAACACTGGTAATGTGATTACAGCAGTCTTTTAGCTTATTTTTTACAGCTACTGGGTACTATGGGTCTCTCTAGGTTTGTTTTTGGTACTGGGGATTGAACTCGGGTCCTTGAGCTTGCACTTGAGCAGCAGGCGGCAAAACCGCTGAGCTAAATCCCTGGCCCTCTCTAGGTTTTTATATAATAGTGAGATCTGAAATACTGAAAAACCATGTTTATTTTTAGAATTCATTTTCCTTCACAGAGACAAGCGATGTGTTAGTTCCTGGGAACAAACTTGTATAGATTCTGAATTTAATTATTCAAAATGGAAGCATTTAAACCTTTTGGATTTACACCAATCTTTTGTGTTTGCTTTTTAAAATAAAGTGCCTGTATTTGTATTCTTCATGTTTTGGAGAAATTATCTAAAAAAAATACAGGAAAATATTTTTTTACTGAATAAAACAAAGGAAACCTCTTAATACTCTTTTAGAAAGTTTTTAATAAGCTAGGCCACTGCCCACGAGTCTTGTCTATAGATAGAGGTAAGTTTCTGATTTTAAGTGCACTATGGATTTCATTCAGATTATTTTACAAATCAAATCCAAACCAAACAGGTTTTAAACCATAGAGTCAACTGTCACTCTTTTTTTTTTTTGGTAGCTGGGATCAAATTCGGGTCCTTGCATTGGTGCAGCAGGCGGCGGAGCCACTGAGCTAAATCCCTGGCCTGTCATTCTTTTTTATTTCCTGGCAATAGAGACTATGCTCTGAGTGTGTGCTGGGGAAGAAGGGGGTCTACTTTGGAAATATTCTTTATCACTGATAATAATTTTTGCAAGAAAAGCAATTCAGGGCCAGGGATTTAGCTCAGTGGTGCCGCTGCCTGACTCACAAGCGCAAGGTCCTGAGTTTGATCCCTGGCACCCATCCCCCCCTCAAAAAAGAAAAAGAAAAGCAATTCACCAGGTTATAATCTTTGAACTCCTCCCAGACTACTGCCCTTATTTTAACCTGGTCTACAACACTAATGCATGGAGAAGTAGGCATCCTGCATCCACCAAGGACAATCTGTTTTGCCTCTGCAGTGTAAAATGATGGAGAGGGGCCATTCTGGGAATGAGACAGACTTAAGGACCTGGTGTTCTCGCTCTCTCTCTCTCTCTTTCTCTCTCTCTCCTCTCTCTCTCTCTCTCTCTTTTTGCCTCTGCAGTGTAAAACGATGGAGAGGGGCCATTCTGGGAATGAGACAGACTTAAGGACCTGGTGTTCTCGCCCTCTCTCTCTCCTCTCTCTCTCTCTCTCTCTCTCTTTCCTCTCTCTCTCCTTCCCTCATCTATCTATCTATCTATCTGGAATACTTACAATAAAAAAATAAAAGGAATACTTCATATAAGAGAGAAGGAACATGGCAATGGTTTAATATTGAAGATCATATCCAACTACCAGGTGTTCTCAAAATTCTTATTATAAATACTGAATATTATTTTACCCTAAGATGAAACAAATTGTTACATAATAGAGAACCTTGAAGCCAGATCAGTAATATGTACCTAATAAAGACAGGTCTAGTTGGGGCCGGGGATTTAGCTCAGTGGTTTCGCCGCCTGCTGCGCAAGCGCAAGGATCTGAGTTCAATCCCCTGGTACCAAAAAAAAAAAAAAAAGACAGGTCTAGTTGACAATATTTACAATGAAGTCTACTGCTTCACCTAAGTGTCTTGCAGACAGGCTCCTGCCTGAAGGACATGATATGATACATTCCATATAGGTTGGCTCTGCTGCACCAAGCAGCAGGCCAATAGAAATGTATCCATCTGCAAACCTTTGCTATCAGCTGGCTCATGAGGTCATTTCTCCAGCTATTTTAAGAAAATGCATCTCAAAGTCATTTTTCCCTTCTTGGGAGGTGTCTTTTTCTAGCCTCATCTAAGATAATAAAGTGCCAGAAAAAGGATTAATACTCACAGACAGTATTTTAATTTTTTTACATAAAAAAATAATAGCTTTTGGCTGGGGAATTAGCTCAGTGGTTCCAGCACCTGCCTGGCAAGTGCAGGTCCCGAGTTCAATCCCTGGTACCAAAAAAATAAATAAATAAAAAGCTTTCTCAGATGCATAATAAACTGACACTGGAAACTTTTTAAAGTTTCCTTTTATTTTAATCCATTAATAATCTCTAAAAAGAGTTCTAAATACCCACGCCTAGGAGAACAGGAGTAAATGAAATAGGAAGGCTCTCTCCAACCCAATACTAACGTGCCTGGGAAGAATGCACTGGGGAGGCTATGAGACTGGCCATCTACTCATCAGGTCCAACCGGACTCTGCCTACTTGCACCAATACTTGCCTACACTCTGCAGTTCTGGGTTACTCTGACACTGGTTGTGGCCATCTTTCATGCTCAGTCTTGGTTTGACCCTTGCATACCAGGCTTTCCACCAAGTTTCACTGTCTCCTTGACTTTAAACACCACCCTTTTCTCCAACCACCTATCTTCTCCATTTTGTTTCTGCCAGTAGAGACCCATATCCTTTCCCTATTTATTGTTACCTCACATCTTCAACACTCTCCTAGCCACTCACTGGAAGTCCAATTCCTTCTTGTCTGGGGTGTCCATTTCTTCTTCAGTCCCACCTCACCCTCCACTTCCTAGCCTAAGCGTAGTGTGTCTTCTACTTGGCTTTCTTGTTCAGTTCTAAATTCTGTCATCCCTCTCTCATCCCATATATCCTCACCAGATAGGTTTGCCTTAATGCCACAGAGAGAGATCCAGTGCTAATAAAATAAAATTCAAATGGCCTTAAACTCCTAGCAACTAAACTAGACTCCTCTGTCCAGCTTTTCAGTCCCACAACAATGCAGTCTCACACTCCGCTCAGTCCTCACTAATCCCCTGGCCACCTTGTCATCTAGGTTAGTCTCCACACTATTGTCACTGCCTTATGAACTGCTGAGCTCATTCCTGCTTCTTTGTCTGTGGATTTCTCCCCTCACTGGACTACTTCCTTGTGCTACTTTTCCAACACTACCACTCTTTAATGCCCAGCAAATCCTATCTTTTTGAAATATATACTATTTCCTCACTCCTCATCTTTTAGGGTCTTGCTATGCAGCCAAGGCCATGAACTCAGGAACCTCCTGCTTTAGCCTTCTGAGTGCTGGGATTATATGCACGCATCACCACATTCAGCTAATGGCTACTTCTATTGAGTCAGCTCTTTCTATCAGCATGAGCACAGGCTCTAAACTCACTTGATTGTGAATCCCAACTCTCTTTAAATCTTAATTTTCTTATCTTCAAAACAATAACGATAATGGCAAACAAAGGGTCAATTGAAAGAATTAGTGATTACTGGGGCCTGGGATTTAGCTCAGTGATTCTGCTGCCTGCCTAGCAAGTGCAAGGTCCCAAGTTCGATCCCTGGCACCCTCCCCCCAAAAATTTAGTGGTTACTGATACCTAGTTGCACTGAATTAGCAGCAGTTTTTTACTTCAGTCATCAACCATCTTTTCTCAGCAACTCCTACAGCAGTCTTTTTGTCTTAAAATTTTATTTTTGTGCGGGAGCGGGGTACCGGGGATCAAACCCAGGACCTTGTGCTTGTGAGGCAAGGCACTGGAACCACTAAGGTAAATCCCCAGCCCCTGTCTTAAAATTTTAAAGCTTAATTTATACACACTCTTACAGGGTCTATTTATACTCCCACCCCCACCCCCCAGCACTGAGGATTAAACCCAAGGCCTTTCGACTGAACTACATCCTCAGCCCTTTTTATTTATTTTGAGACCAGGTCTTACTAAGTTGCCCAGGCTGGGCTTGAAATCCTTAACCTCCTGTTTCAGTCTCTGAGTGCTGGGATTGCAAGCATGTGCTATCACACCCTCTGGAACTATTATCATCTACATAGATGCATCACAGCTAATTGGCAACTAATAATTCTGATTTTATAGAAGGAAAAAACACTATTCTTTCAAAGGAAAAATAGAAACAAAGCTTTTGTACATGGGGGGGAGGGGGCCTGGGGGAGGGAGAGCTTGGGGAAAAAAGTGGCAGGAAGTATCATGTACAGGTACAAATTCCCTGTGATGAGTGTTATCATTACGTATGCCTAAAATGTACCAATGAATGTCATGCTACTAAAAAAAATGAAAACCAAATGAAAATAAGAACAAAGTATGTTAAAAATGGCAAATTTTGGGCAGGGGTGTGTAGTTTACTGGTAAAACACTTGCCAGCCCTGGGTTCAATTCCTAACACCACAAATAAATAAGATTAAATGGCAAAAAACAAACCTATTCTTTTTTCTTTAACAAAAAGAAGTTGTAACAAGCTACTCT